TGGTGCCCCTGCGTTGAGGTGCAGTAAAACTTGAGCTGGATCATCTTTTTCACAGACGACGCGGCGCCTTTTTCTGTCCAACAGTGTTCTCACTGAAATAAATGACACTGTCGAGCCTGTGTTTTTTGATGCAGCGCTAACGTCCGTCTGAAATATTCTCTGCCATCCATCCCACGATAGCTACTGGCTGTCGTCTAAAAAAATCAACTAAAGTCACAAATCAGGCCTGATAACAGCTCTTTTATTTACAGCAGCTTTGCTAACTTTCTGAGAAAGGACCAGTATCACTGACTGAAACTGTGCTGGAAGTTCAGGTACCAAAGCAGTTTGCCTACAATATGCCCATGATCACATGCAGAGCAGCTGTGTGCAGCTGGAAAAGCCCAGGCTAGCTTAATTTATATGTAACCTTTTTTCCACTGTTAAGATAAACACATTCATGCCAGAGCTACTTGTTTCCACACAGAGGTTCTGTCCAAACTGTTTCAAATAGTTTCATTTAACCACTTCCTTCTCCTTCTGTGTTGACAATGGACATGTTTAATTTTATTTCACTTGTAGGAAACAAATGAGTGACAGGAGAGCTAATAATACCTGAAAAACACGGAAAACTCACAACAGCAAAAAAAAAAAAAAAACCAGCACACACTTCATAAATTTATCAATATGTAATTATGGTAACACTCGGGGCAAAGCTCCACCAGCCGCCTCTCTGAAGAGTGCAGTCATTTCCTCCTGCTAAAGCAGCGTCTGTTTGAGCGCCGCTCAGAGCCATGATACCAGATACTTGGTAGGTTTTAATCAAAAATGTCAGACGCTAAACTAAAGGCGCTGGATCAGGCACGAACTAAAACATGGGAAAACGAGTCAGAGTCCCCAGGCAGCACTGTGGGCACATGTCTACAGACCGATTCTGTAATTCAGCTTAGCTTGATTTGAATTTTTTAAAAAAGGGAATATGTTGACATATGGGATAGTTTTAAGAAAAGAGTCAGAGTGAGCGCCCAGGCTGGAGAATGACTACGACAGACCTAATTACACAGAGGGGACTGCTGAGAATTAGCGGGCTTTTCTGACAGTTGAAAATAAATAGGGCAGTTAATGAACATCCTCGGAGGGGAGGCCATGTTTCCTCGCTCTCGCCGGCTTCTCCCATGTGGCGCGGGAGCCGCTCTAATGGTTTTAGCTGACACCCGAGTAAGTGAATTTGGAGCCGAGGAGAACAGAGAGGCAAATTAGAAGTCACTTCCTCTTTCCTGGAGCCCGGGGCTGACATGACTGATATCAGCCAATAACAGGACCACAGGCGAGGGACCCTGTATTTACAGCTGACATGAGCTGGAGGTTAGCGTAAGGCGGTAGACACATTTCAGGTCTAACCAAACACTAACATTCAGAAATTATAAGTCAATTAATTAAATATTTTGTCCAAATACTAAATAGCTGTTTGTTTTTTTGTCTTCAATAAAGAATACATTTCATTGGAAATACAAAACTAGAAATACATTATTTATTTTATTATTATTATTATTTATTTGCTATCTTGCTATTGCAGAGCAGACATCACTAAATTTGTAAGACAACAAATACGACATTCAAGACCACATTAATCTGATATTATCATCATGTAACATGTAAATTAATGTGCTATGTTTTCTTAGCTGTAGCACTGAAGTTAACATACTGCTTTATATACATGTGCGTGTATTTAATGGTTAATGGAAAACTATTTTTTTTAAAATCACAGATTAATGAATCAATGAATGAATAATGACAATAACTCGACAGCCACAGTAAAAACCATTCATCTACTGTAGCTGAAAAAACCTTTTCATGTCCTGTGAACACAGGGCTGTTTCACCCAGTCAGGACTGTAAAAAAAACAAAAAACAGATGACTTACATCTGCTCATGTTTCTCTCTCTTCCTTTAAAGTGTTGTTGTCAAATTACCGCAGGTTATCTCGCTGATATTTACTGTTATGATCACATATTAACAGCGACTTTTAACCACGAGTGACGAGACTTTAAAAAGCGAAACCACAGCTGCCTCACAAACATCTCTCTCACACTTCAAAGCGTCTGACAAAGGTCACACTTCATCTCTGTGTCAGTCCGTTGAGGTTCAGTGACTTTTAGAAACACATTTTCCAGAGCAGAAAAACGTCCAAAAAAGCATCTTGTTTGACGCACATCACACCTCGGTCGCATTGTGAGCGCGCTGGTGTTTGCACTCACCCGTCCACATTTGGAGAAAATTAAAACAAATGAAAACCAACACTTCATTTCTGATGTTATTGCTGGTAATGAAGCACTGCTGTGATGCTTTTTGAGTCCCCCACCCACCCCAACCCCCCCTTCCTCCCCTCTAGTTGCACACCTCTCCGGCCTCTCCAGAGACTTTGCCTTAACAAAACACAGACGGGACAGCAGTGAACGCACATACTGTATTACAGCTCGTACATCAACCAACAACAGGGCTTTGGGCAGATGGGTGAGGTTTTCGGCTGCACTGCAACGCAAGAACAGCTCAATAATTAGCATCGTTGTTGTACTGAAACGCACCGGTTATTCTTACGCGAGCCAGGGGACTCGTTGTTTGCCTTAACACCCCATTTGCTTCACCGAGGCAGCCGTGCAATAATGGGAAACCCTCAGCTGAGTTATAGTGGGCACGTTTTCTCGAATCCACTGAAGTAAAAAGTTACACTCAAGCAGCGCTACTGAGGATATGATGTCACTTGCCAGACGAGGAGAGGAAACTGCACAAAATAAACCCAAGATAGACAAAGAAAAGAAATGTTATGGTCACAAATGAAAGAGGCTAAAGTCGAGGACAAACTATTAGGGGTGAGATGTGACATGTGAGTTGATTAAAGTTATGGTTGAAACTCATGTATGAACCATTGAAAAGTCCCACATAAGGAATAAAAGGCTGTGACAGATATATTATCATGCATTTAATTCACGTGATGACATGTTGTGCTTGTTTCTAATGAAGAACCATGATTTACTTCAAATTGCTTTGATTAGTTCAACTTCAGTTTATGATTTCCTCCATTACCCAGAATGCCTTTCCCCCAGGGATTGGGTGTAACCATGTTTGCTTTCACTCTTTGACTCCGAGCAGCTGACGGTTACTGTTTAGGTTTAACACTGTCGGATGTAAACACCAGAACTTCCTGCTGCAGTCAAGTTTTTCTATGTGTGTTTTATAAATGACAGTTTCAAGAGACTGTTAACACTGAAAGCAGTGGACTGATCCTACAACCTGCTGAAGATGATTGAATTCTTTTAATCAATATGCACCAATCAGGGTTTTTCCTGGCTACAGAATCCACCAGAAATGTTTTAACACAATCATCAGCAGTTAATGAATCAGTGACTGACTCTTTGTCAGCCAGTTATGACTGTTAACCACTTAGTCTTTGACACAGCAGCATATCTGTCCTTACATGATTCTTCTCTTTGTTTTGGTCGTTTGAAGCCAACAATATCAATTGAGAGTTTTATATTAAAAAAAATTAAAATGTATTGGTTGATATTTATTTTTGTACTTGAATACATCCCAAAAAAAGCTTTTTTGATAGGGATCCCTTAGATTTGATTATTACTGAGCCTTGATGACCCTGATGAAGGATGGTGATGGTGCACTGAAGGACAGCAGAGCGACATGTTTTGATTTTGTTGGACTTACATTAAAGCTCTCACTGGTCTGCATCCCACTGTGTGTGCATTAAAGTAAATTGAAGACATTTTGTTTCTGTACAGTACATTAAAGACATCACAGTGGATTGTAAAAACTGTAAATGGCTTTTTTTCCCCAGTATTTTTTAAAAAACATTTTATGGGTGGAACAACTAATCGATTAAATGAGGCATAAAAGAAAACATCACGCTGCCATATTTAGCATTAGCACGGAGTTATTCACTGTGCACAGTTGTTTACAAAGGTTTGGCCAAATCTGAGCAAACTTAACATATATTTTGTGATTTCTAAAGTAAATATACGTGAATACAACCGCTGCAGAAAACGCACTTGTGTGAAAAGGATTTTGATGTTTTGGATCATGGTTCTGCTGTAGAAACCAGACTCTCATCACTTCCCTCCTCTTGACTGAAGGACAGGACAGACTCTGCATCCAGACTCTACTGATATTCAGTTGAATCCATTTTAAGCAGAGCAGTTAATTTTTTTCCCCTCATGCTGAACAGTTGGTGCTTTATCCAAACACTGTTTTGGTGTTTGTGGCTAAAGACCTTAATTTTTAGCTTCATCTGTCCTCAGCACTTGTTTCAGACTTCTGTAATGAAGTCACAGGTAAAGATTCCTTCTAATGACTCCTCCTTTATTTTTGCCTTTCTGTCCAACAGACCTGCAGTTTAATCTGAAAATGTTCTTGGTTTTCCACATTTTGTCTCGACGTTCACACTCCCCTCAAACTTTTTCATTATTCATCTTTTTTATGTTCATGAAATAAAAAGGTAACAGCACATTAGCATTTGAAGAATGGTTCATTTTCATGTCTGTTTTCTGCAGGGTTGTACTTACATCTGCAAAGTCCTGCCTTGCTTCTGCACACATCTGTATATTGAGATAATTAACAGCTGACATGTTGGTATTCTGCTTTACCAACAGCTCACCTCCTCTGCACTACAGTCTGGTAACACGCCTGTTCAAAGGCCCACTACTAAATTCAACAGCTTGTTTATCGACAGAGAAATAAATTAATGACCTGCAGTCGGTTTTCATCCGGACACAAACACCAACATCACTCGGTTTTAAAGCAACTCTGAGAACTGCGTTAAAGAAACATGAATTCTTCACGTATGAAGCAGAAACTGGATTAAACTCTGCAAACAGGGAGAGTAAATTAACGAGACGAACCCAGTATCGTTTCACTGTCCACAAGCTGCCGAACTGAAGCGGTTTTTTTTTTTTTTCCTGATTCGAGCTGAAACACAAACGTGAATCTCTCGGTTTAGAAAATGTTTCCACGCACCTTGTTTTCCGGACCGGCTCCAGCGCAGAGACATCTTCTAGGAGAGTTAAACTTCTGAATGAATCTGAAGACATGTCTCAAGTTAGTCCGCACGGGGAGCGCCATTTTTCATGGTGACGTCAGACTACGGCGGCTTTGAAAGGACAAAAGAGATAAACGCGTTTCAGCTAAGGGCAGTCAAAATAAGGCGAGGTGACAGGACCAAGGGCATAGTGTGTCAACACCAGCAATAACATGTCATGGACGTTTTTAATCAGGGTGTAAAAGTAATTGACGACTAATAAGGTGTACTGTTACCATGGCAACACCACTTAATTTTCCTTACCTGATACTTTATAATAGATAAATATTGTGTTTGCTTCCATTTTTCCCTGCCTACCTTTTTAGTAGAAAAACTATTGATAATAACATACAGCACTGTGCAAAAGTTTAAGGCACTAAAAGTAAAGTGAGGATGTTTTATTATCAGTTAACTTTATAACAGAAAAAACTAAATCAAATCAACATTTGGTGTGTACACCCTTTGTCTTTAAACAGCTCCAGTTCTCCTTGGTACACTTGCCAGTTTTTGATGGTTCTCTGCTGGTAGGTTGTTCCAAGCATCTTGGAGAACACGGGCTGTATCAGTGTCTGTCTGTGTAATGGTATTGTATGATGAATAAGAATGTAAACATCAAGTGCCTAAAACCTTTTCACAGCAGTGTATATTTAAACATCCCTGAATTGTGTCTGCAGGTCTTCCTCTCAAGCTGCAGGTATATACAGTAACCTCCACCAATCAGAGAGTAGAAATACTCAACATGTTCATCAACTCTCTCTGGATGTTGGCAAAGATTCTGTGTGGAGAGATAATAGCGGGTAAATCAAACTGTAACCTTTACAAATGAGGGGAAAACAAAAATAGGACTTTGTAAAGTGAGAATAAACCCAAACCTCAGTGGAAATTACAGCCTTGGACAGAACATTGTGCCATTTTTAACTCATTTAGGTTACATGTCATTAACTTAGAACAATAAATGCTAAGATGGTAATCGTGGTCATGCTAAGGAAACCTAAAATGTTCATTATTATGTAAATAAATAAGACTATATGAAATTAATAATCATTTGAATAAATATAGGAAACATATATAATATAAAAGTGAAATTGTGATGTATTACAATATATTTTTTGCTGCTTCTTTTCACAAAATGTGCTTAATCCGGATGTTTGTCCTTTCAATTCCAGCTATTTTCATTCAAAAACAAACTTTTTCAAACATCTGTTGTTGCTTCATCTTTTCACCTTTTTATTCCAATGACCATTTCGTTTCCTAACGCCACGTTTCATCACCAGGTGTTTGTCTGTCAATCAGAACAAGCACAGAGCCAGTTATGTGATTGGCTAACAGTTTGGTCTGAAATATTATGCAGCCAATTACATAACAAAGATTTATTTCATTCAGAATCTCGTTTATTAGTTTAATGGTGAACACTTTGGGTGTCCACACCAGGACGGTTCAGGAAAACAAAAAAAGAGAGAATTACCTCGTCTCTGTCCTTGTCCTCTGTCCTTGTCCTGAGAAAAAAGGACATGAAGAGGTTAGAAACATGCAGAAAGTTACAGATTTTAGCGTTTTATGAATTACACTGGACACATATAAGCTATTCTCTGGATCACTGATTGATAAAACAGAAATAATAAGTCTTGAAATCCAATTGACTTTGTTTTTGTACTCGTCTGGTGGCCTTTTTCTATGAAACTCCACTCTTCTCTATAAAGTGCAGTGCAGAAACACCACAGTCATTATCTCTTAGCACCAATAAAATGGAGACAGGAACGGAAAAAAACAAGGATCTTGCAGACAGCTGCTTAAATTCATCTTTTCAGAAACCACTGGCTTTTCAAACTGAAAACAATTCAGGGTCTTCGACTCTCTTTGCTGAACTGTACACCAGCTGCCTGCACTGTATGGAAGAGGAAGATATGCAGTAACACACACCACCACATGCACTGTAGGCTATAGAAATGCATCAGACATGTGCGGTTTCCTCATTGTCAGGGGGTCTCTATGTTAATTGGGTGGTGTTGTGTCTAGCTCCGCCGCTTCCTCAACAACCCAACTTTCCCAGGGAGCAGCTGCAGAACTGCTCTCCTCCATACCTTCCCTCATTGCAAAGTGGCGATATAGATACTATAAGTGATTACTCTACACGCTGGGTAAGGTTACAGTATGTTTGCAGGGCACACTGGCTGCTCGCAGTCCTTGAGACCTCTTGTTTTTCAAAACATCTGCTGCTGATTTTTTTTTTTCTCCCCCTCCACCTTTTTGCATCTGGTTGCATTTGCAGCACAAAATACAGACTATCATTCCATATTCATTATTATTTCCCGAGGCGCTGAGCTCTTTCTTTGGTGCGTCAGATTTAGAGACCTGAGCCGTTATGTTCTCTCACGCCTGGGTGATGGGAGATTTGGTTGGTGGAGCAAAAAGCGGCTGGTGGGAGATGGGTTTGTATGCTTGCTCTTTGTGTGTGTGTGTGTGTGTGTGTGTGTGTGTGTGTGTATGTGTGTGTAAAAGCCTTCAGCTCCTGTTTCCTGGCCACCCAGTAGGGGCTGGTCCTCCTGCGCTTCATCTCCTCTCTTCCCTCTCTCTGCCTCCTCCTCCTCCTCGTTGCTTGTTTTTTTTCTGTGAGAAAAGAGAAAAGTTCTGCTTTTTGTTTCTTTGAGTCAAATGATTAATCATTCAGGGTAATACATTATGTATCAGTGGAGCGCTGTGAGGTCAGCATGGTAGAGATAAGGCCTCCTCAGGGGGCTCGGGGCAAAAATGAGCTGCTGGTTTGTTGTGAGGTAATTTGACTGTAAATATATTCTTGTAGGAACATGCAGCATGGAAGTACAAAACCAAAATTAACACAAACCAGTTGGCACACTGCACGTCTGCAACATTTGGGGACCCTGCAGTTCTGGTTCTGGTGGTCGGTGTAATGCACGCCGGATCCAAGTATCTGCCCTGAAATTAGCAGGTTTGTGGCGCAGTCAAAGTCATTGTTCATTAAAATGTAATCACGTATTAGTAAATCCAAATAAGTGCTTGAGACATTTTCAGTAAAATAATCCTTCTTACATGTCATTTCCACAGTCATAAGAACTGTGTTGAAGAAATGTAATTTTACGATACATTAAGCAATTTAAATGAATGTTACATCCCTAGAAAATGATGAATTGGCGTCCTGAAATTAATACAATCAATATGATAAAATATCTAGAAAACTATTACTTTAAATAAAGAAAGAGGCAAATTTATTTTCTGAAAAATATCTAAAAATGTGTTAATGTTATCGTAAAACACCATTAAATAAAGATAAGTTAAATCGTCTGTGTGTTAAACTTGTGTCTCACAGAACAGTTTCATAGTTGTTTGATTATTCTAATGAAATGAGTGAAAATTGGTTCAGTTTGTTTCTTTCAGATCATGGATCCACAGCATCTTCCTCTATTTACTATTGGGGGGCAACAATATCAGAAATGATAAACTCCCACTTATATTGGCTTTAAATCAATATTAAAAAAGTACTAATAGTAAAAACATATAAATATCATCGTTGTGCAGCGAAGGATACAGAGCTACCAGCAGTCAGATGCAGAATGATGTAACTGTCATATACAGTGTTGATATTGAGCCTTATAATGTTTTTAGGATGTAAATATGTCGAGTTTTTTTTCTTTCTACTTCACTGGTAATTAAAGTGTTAAAAAGTGTCCATCACTCAGTTTGAAGAAGAGAAGAAGAAACAGAAACTCAGCAGTCCGATCTCCAGAGAGGAGAGAGAGGCCGTCCAGGTGATGAGTGAAGACGTTGTGTTTTCATCACAAATCCTCTCTCCTTTCACCATCAGGGTTGATTCATTCTTCATCCTCATCTGCCTTACTGCACCTCCTCCTCCTCCTCCTCCTCCTCCTCCACTCCAACTTCACACCTTCAACCCTTTCTCACTTTCAGTCTGGATAATTGTCACCAATTGTCTTCTTCCTCTCCCTTGTCCAACCATCATCCTCTTCATCTTTATTTTCCCTCTTCTTTCTCCATCGTTTACTCCTCCATGTCCTCCTTGTATGATGACATTTAAGCCATGTAAGTTTACATGTACGCAGACACTTTGTATGAATATATACATTATACATCTATGCAGATATATACACACTTGTGTCTAACTGCTATCCAACCCACACACACACACACACACACACACACACACACACACACTCTGCAGCAGCCCTCCTGAGACGAGGAGAGTTGCTGGTAGGAAAGTCCGGCTGGTGGCGACCAACACCCCACCTGTCATAATACAGCCAGGCAAGGCATGATGGGAGGGTGAGGGGGTGGGGCTGCTGAGTGAGGGGCCAGAAATGTGTGAACGTGTGTGAGTGTGTGTGTGTGTGTGTGTGTGTGTGTGTGTTTCCTAGACTCTGGATCCTGATGCTGAAAGACAGGATCTCCCCTCTGACATTGTAGGCATTAGGAGCCCACAGGACGTCCACCACCCAAGTGGATGGATGGATGGATGGATGGATGGATGGATGGACGGATAGATGTGAACGTGTGTGAGTGGATGGATGGACGGATGGATGGATGGATGGATGGATGGACGGACCAACAGAACAACATGTGTCTGTATGGATAAGCAAGCGACCAGATGTACAGACAGATGATTCGAAGGCGGGCAGGACAGAATCTGGCTGAAGGGATAAAAAAATAACAAAGTGTGATACTTCGCAGACCAGAGAATGTGTCAGTGATTGAATTGCCGGGGCCGACCGCACACAGCCTGCAGCGCTGCTCCTTCACCGGCCCGCTGTTCTCAGAGTGGGAAGCCTCAGCAATCATAATAAACACTCAGGACAAAGTATTTTGTGTAAAGCGATGTTTTCTTCCCCAAGGAGGATCTGGATTTCATTACTAATCTGTGTGACTATGCATGTGCACAAGAGTGTGTCTGTATGTATGTCTCTACTCAGGGTTGTGCAATATAACGATATATACCAGACTTTACTGCTCTGTTTCTACTGAGGTCGCTATCATTTTAATATCTGTCAGTGCTGCAGATTATTCCGCCTCCTTCATCAGTG